TCCCGCTGCCCGCGTGCTCCGCGGCTTTGCTCCGCGTCTCCCTGGTCTGCTGGGGGGGGCTCCCCCCCCAGCAGACCAGGGAGACATGGAGCAGCTTTTCTCACCCCGGAGGACGCGGGCGGCGGGACCGCGGTGCATCTGGGCGTCCCGCCGCTCGTGTCCTCCGGGGTGAGAAAAGCCCAGTTCGTAACTGCGGATCTGACAAGTCGGATCCGCGTAACTCCGGGACTACCTGTATCCATAAATTACAGGTCAGAAGGGACCATTGTGATTATCTGGATTTACTTCCCACCTAAGACAAGCTATACAATTTCACCCAGTGATTGTTTCATCTAGCTCAAAGACCTGTCACATTGTAACATGTCTTTTAGAAAGACATGCAATCACAGGCAGTGTGCCACTTCAGTGATACCATTGAAAGGGTAGCTGCTCTTTGTCCTTGGAAGAAAGCTCTCCCAATAACCGAATAAAATCACCCCCACTGAGGAGGGGTACCTTCATGGAAGGGAGAGTGGCTCTCACTGATGAAGCACTATTTACACTAGAGCTTTTCATCATTAAAACTTTTGTTCAGGTGGGTGTTTTTTCAAAAGATTTAATCATGAAAGTTCTGTGTAGATATGGCCTTGCTTAAAGGGTTCCAATTATGGAAAATATGCCAAATCCTTTGATACATCGCTCTTCAGGTTAATATCCCTTTTCAGTGGACTTGGGGTGAGAGCTGAATTTCATTACAGAACTCTAACTAGCTTAGATCACCCAGTACTGTAAAGACGATACCATTAAACATGCAAACTGACGTGTGTGGAGGAGTTTAAAAACCTCACCACAACAACAAAAAGTGCTAAATAGCTAGTAATTAGGTACTTGGGTCTTTACATTAATATCTAGTCTGAAGACCAGTTTGAATTATTAAAGTTGTAAAGCCGGCAAAATACTTTATTTGCGATGGTTACTTAAATAAAGGGAAGGCCAAAAAAAGGGTGAATAAAGGAACTCATTATCATTCACATCCTGCACTTTTTTTAAACAAAAACCTTTTAAAATAATTGAGAGAAGTAAGACTATAAATGCATTTAAAATTAGTTTTTCACTGTAACGTTCTCTTAAAAAAAAAAAAAGCGCCTTTCTGGGCCAGATCCTCAGATAATATAAATCAGCATAGCTTTGCTGACTTTCATCAGGCAGCAGTCTACATGATCCTTACAATGTGACTCACATACAACAATTAACCACATAATAGAAGTCATTAAACTTCTGTATATTGTGTCTCCTGCTGCCTTTAGCTCTGCTTAGCTGTGAACGGTTGTTAAAATCTCGTGTCCAAAACAGATGAGGTAAACTAACTCCCTACAACAACAAGATAGCTTGTGAACGAGGTCTAATTGGAGGTTACCATTTAACTCTTCCTTGGTTCCCATAATTGCTGTAGACGTGCTGCTGTTACAAAGAATATATATACAGGCATGCAAATAAAAAAAGAGAATTTTATTCTCAAGCTTTGATTTTTTTTTTTTTTGTGTGTGAGCTAATTTCATTTTTTCCATTGTCAGAATTTCTGTCATCTCCTCCTCAGGTTCTCAAATGTAAATGATTTAAAATAACAATTTGTTACCTTTTACTTGCAGTCAAAAAAGATCCAAGCCCAGCTGAAGGAGTTTCGCTATGGGAAAAAGGATTTGATTTTTAAGGTGAGTTTATATTACTAGAGCTAGCTAAGGTATTTACTTTCAGTCAATATAATGTTAAAATCATCCAGATTTTGTTACTGCAGAATTGAAAAAATAATTTCCCTAACTGTCAGCATAATGAAAGATGCTCAAAACTCTCAGTCACAGACATCATTCCCATAATGTGTTCTCTGAAATACCATCTATTTGTCAGAGTTGAAAGGGCAAAGTATGGTATTGCAATGCTTTCTTTGGGAAAAGATAGAGGTGAATTCAAAGCTTCAAAAATTCTATCATCTCCATCGTTACTTAAAATTGAAATGGAAAAATATTTAGCTCATGGTTATTTACATGAAAATACCAGCATAAACCAATGGCATAGTCAGTGCTCTGCTAGTGACACAAACCTTTCCCATTGTTCCACAGATTCTTGTAAAGGGCTTTTTAATCTTTCTAATTGGGCATTAGAACATTTTATGGCTGTCAGGTGGTTTCTGTTTGATTAGCAGTCCTCTGTGCTAAAGCTGTACAGGATAACATTTAAAGAAAACTCTTCAAATATCTGTGACAAGTAGACAGAATAACTTGTGACAAACATGGAAAATAATCCTGTAGGCATCTAGCTTTTATCCATCTGTGTTCCAGCTCTTTTGAAATTTCTTTCTTCAGCTACAGCTTCTTGACAAGAAACTGAAGTTTCTATGGCTATGTCTACACTACCAGGTTATTTCAAAATAATAACTCCTGAAATTACTATTTTGAAATAAGCTTATTCCTCTTCACAAGCAGGCGTTATTATTTCAAAATAACAAGTCTCTTATTTTGAAATAACAGGTTTGGTAGGGTGCATCTACACTGCACCCGTAGCTCGAAATAAGCTACGCAATTTGAACTATGCAAATTGCGTAGCTTATTTTGAGTCAATTTCAAAGTAGCTGATTTCAGAATTTGGCGCTGTCTACACAGCACTTTATTTCAAAAGAATCACTGTTCTGAAATGTCCCTTACTCCTTGTGGATTGAGGTGTTACAGAGACATCAGAATAGTGAGCCTGTTATATTTTAAAATAGTGGGAGTGCTCAAAAGACATGGAATAGCTATTTGGGGATACATCTAGTATCCTGAAATAGGGCTGCACTGTAGCCATAGCCTTAGTGGGGATGCACACCTTGTTGTTTTGAAATAAGGGAAGTTATTTTGAAATAATTCCTCAGTGTAAACATGCCCTATGAGGTACAGGCAGTCCCCGGGTTACATGGATCCGACTTACATCGGATCCCTACTTACAAACGGGGTGAGGCAACCCTGCACTAGCTGCTTCCCCCCAGCAGACCAGGGAGATGCGGAGCGGCTTTTCTCAGCAGACACCTCAGCTTGAGAATAAAGGACTAAGGGAAGTGAGGTGTGGGAGAATAAAACTGAGCTCTGGAGAAATGTTTGGCTAGAGTTTCCCCTACAATATGTACCAGTTCCGACTTACATACAAATTCAACTTAAGAACAAACCTACAGTCCCTATCTTGTACGTAACCCGGGGACTGCCTGTATACGCAAACCAAATTTCGAGTCAGTCTCATTCACATAAACACTGAAAAGTTTAGATACTCAGCTGAAACATACCCAAATTCCTCTTTCTAAAATCAGACAGATAATATTATGAGAATAGGATGTCTCACAGAATTTTACATACTTCCTACTTCTGGTCTTTTTTTGAACCCTAGCCAGTGGAGGAACAAAATTAGAGGTATGCACTAGACAGGAAAACTCTTATCTGAATTTTCACTATCATTAGGCAGTTGCACCAGCAGTTTGAGGAATTTTCTCTAAATTAGATCTGGGGTTCTAGTTTGGCACTAAAAATGACAGCTAATGAAGTAGAATCAACTCAACAAACAGTTCAGATTCAGTTTGGATTGTAGTAGAAAACTTTAAGATGGGGAATAAAAGATATTATCTAAAAGTGGTTAGGGGGAAAGACTTATTTTATTTGCCTGCAGAGAGGAGGCTAATTACTGTTACCATATGTGCTATATTAGCATCTATGGGGGCCAACAGAGATTGAGTTCAAGTGTGGTAGGCACTGTACAAACAATAAGACATGGTCCTGCCTCAAAGAGCTTGCCATCTAAATTGAAAAGACAAAGGGTGGGCGTGGAATGCAGCACAGAAAGGTGAAGTGACTTGCCAATGGTATATGGCAAATCAATAGCCAACCTGAGAATACAATTTCTCTTGAGTGTCAGTTCTTTACTCTAACTTACCTAGTGGACCTGCTGCCCCTTAGGAAAAGACCTGCAGTTGAGGCACAGGGATGAAGAAAAGGAAGGGGTCAGGAAGTGTTTTTTTCTCTTATGATATACCTGTGGTCTTTTTTCTTCTTCCTCTGAAATATCACAGCTGGAGATGGGACACTGGATGATGCAGGGACAGGTTTCTGAGGTGGCACTGAGCATTCTCTCTCTCTCTCAGGTTCTGGTTTGGCTAGTTCTAGCACGTGTGCTCAGGGGCTAACTGTCCACCATATATATATATGTGGGATGGAATTTTCCTCCTCATCAGACTAGAGCAATCTTGGAGATTTTTTGCCTTTCTCTGCAGCATGAGATGAAGATCACTCGCGAAGATCACCTGGATGCATGGGGCACTGGGGCATCTTAGTGTCTCACCTATTCTATGCTTGTGGTACGTTCATAATTTAGCATCATGTAATATGTCCGTTGTTGGGTTTAGTGTGATATGCAGGAGGTCAACCTAGAAAATATAGCAGTTCCTTCTGGCCTTAAAACTCTAGGGGTATGTCTACATTACAGAGAAAACCGAAGCTGCTGCTGTTGATCTTCCAGGTTTTGAATTAGCGAGTCTAGCGAAGACGCACTAATTCAAACTGAGAGGGGCACTCCCGTCAATGCTGGTAGTCCTGCTTCCACAAGGAGTAAGAGAAGTTGAATGTTCTCCCTTCAACTTCCTGCAGTGTGTACAGTACCAAAAGTCAAGTTAAGGTACTTCCATTTAAGTTGCGTATCTTAATTCAATCTTGTCCCGTAGTGTAGACATCCCCTAAGAACTGAATGTTCTAGGCTGTGCTATAGCAAGTGTGAATTTGGGGAAGTAATTTCATCTCCTTGTACCTTAGAGTAGATCTACACAGCAGGGTTAAAGTGGAATTAAGCTACTCAACTTCAGTTACATCAATCACATAGCTGAAGTTAAAATACAGTAGACTTCCGATAATCCGGCACCTTTGGGACCAGAGTAGGTGGTGCCAGATTATTGGATGTGCTGGACTATCAAGAGGTACTACATACATATAAACACTATATACATATATACACTTCAACACTAATACAGTCTGTAAATTATTCACTTAAACACTAAAAAACTCACGAACTTAAACAAAACACTAAAACTTAAAACTATAATTTTGTTTATTTGCCATGCTGCAAAACTAATCATCTGATGAAACCCTGCTTCATCATCTGTGATATCATCTGGGTTATCGATATCCTCCTCTGCTTCCATAGGGGTGTCGACAACAGTAGGCTCTGATGGTGGTGGTAAAGACAAAGGCTGAACTATCTTCCATGCCCTTGCAAACATATCCCTGAGATCGGCTTGCTTAGAGGACTGCGACTTCTTGGTATAAAAGTTATTCAGAATAATATGAAGGCTCATCACTTCAGCTGCATTATATTGGCTGCAACTCTCTGCAAATTCAACTAATTTGGAAATAAAATCAGTTGACTCTCACCAGATATATTTTGCTCTCTCCGTCACTTGCTCTTCTTCTTCCTGAGGTTTTTGTGGATTCATAACACTTTCAGTGATAGCAGCATCACTCAAAATTTCTACAACTGGTTCGTCTTTGTCCATAGCAAGCCATTGTTCAATCTCATTTTCTGTGAGCTTTGCAACAGCATTCTTCTCAGGTACATTTTCAGTTTTTTCCTGTATGTCATTACTGTGTTTAGACCTAACATTAAAACCACAAAATTCCTCTTCATTGGAAGAATTGTCACAAAACCTGATGCTAGACCAAAGTTTTCCCCAACATTTTCGTACAGTAACCTTCTTTACGTCTTTCCAAGCCAATGCGGCCGCATACACAGCATCCTTAAGGATGAAATCAGGTTGAAATTCAAAAACACTGCAGTCTGAGTTTACCAGCTTTCGGACAAAAGACCCGCTGTAGAAACACTTAAAGTTCTGTATCACGCCTTTATCCGTAGGTTGGATCAAAGACGTCACATTTGCTGGCAAATATGTAGTGAAAATATTTCCACTAACAAGCTCCGAAGCGGGCAGATTCGCTCGACAGTTATCGAGCAAAAGAACAGCTTTACTATCCTCCGGTTGACCCCCCTCTTTCTAAAATTCTCCTTAACTGTAGGCACAAAATAATTAAAAAACCAGTCCTTAAAGGTTTCTGCTGTCATCCAAGCATTCCCCTGTGCCTGGTAAATCACTGGCAAACTTGTAAGAGTTTTAAATGCCCTTGGCTTTTTGTACTTCCCTACAACAAAAAGCTGAAGCTTATGCGTGCTGGATGCATTTGCGCATACCAGAACTGTAATGCAGTCTTTGTTTATTTTGAAGCTATGAGCAGCCTTTTCAGCACCACCAACCAGAGTAGAGTTTGGCAAACAACACCATAAGAGCCCGGTCTCATCGGCATTGTGTATTTGAGAAGGCGACAAACCGTGTTCCTCTACCAACTGCTCAAAAATAGCGCTATACTCCTCAGTGGCTATGTGATCGGCAGACTTTTGCTTACCACTGATATCTAAAACAAAATACAGGACTATGTAGCACTTTAATACCATTAACTCACAGACATCTACCCTTCCCCACCTCTAATATCATTAACTCACAGGCATTCACCTTCCTCCCCCCCCACCCCGCATTCCCCCTTCTGTTCTGAAATGTGATTTGTCCTTTTCATGTGTGTTCATTTTTTTTTTAATTGTATCCTTTGGTATATATGGTTGTGACTATTTTCTTCCACTATTTGATCTGAGGAAGTGG